GCTTAATTTTGATAAAAAAAAAATACTAAAACTTGTTTACTTTGTTGCCCTTTCAATTTAATAATTAAAAAAACGACAAAAATGTCAAATAATGGTTGTTTTATACATAAAATACATTACTTCAGTACATTCAAGATAAATTTAAGTCAAAATAATTTAATAAATAATTAAAATACTAACAAAAAAGTTACATTTTGAGGTGATTGAGCAGAGCATTTTATTACGAAATTATTTTAAATCCTAGAGGTCCTAGAGAAAAACAAATGACATTTTTTAAATCAGCGGCCCAAAATTAGTTAAACTAAGCTGGAGTTACTCAATTTTAGGAAAAAAAGTTTCTAAAACTATCATATTATAATTATAATATAATTAATTATTCTTTTACAAGAACAAACACCTGAATACAATTTTCACCTTTCAACAAAATTTCTTTGTTCATTTCAGAGGCTTTAAGCGGTAATTTTCGTTTTTCATACTTTCTAATGCAAATTTAGGTACTTGTAACAAAAAACACATTGCAAACTGCAAACATAACCCAATTCTAGAATTCTTGTGTTTTATATTGCCGCAATCATTTTTAAAACCAAGTCTTTTAATAAGGTTTAGTCAGTTATAAATGTATAATGTAATAAACACATATTTAAATATATGTAAGATAACCTACAAATCTTTACTACATTAAAAATTTGCTATAATGCCAAATTGGTTCAAACTTAAATCAGTGGATATGCTTAAATCAGTTGATATAACTAAATCAACGTTTTTGCATACGGCCCTTAGTCGATACAACAGTTCCCAAAAAAAAACAAGCATAGCCAAAGCGAAAAAAATCGACCCACAGTCAAATCAGTCAAGTACAGACAAAAAGCAAAGGAAAATAATCTCGTCCTAAAGAAATAAATATCAGGAGACTACAAGGCACGTTAATGGGGGCCATAAATTAGGTAACTAACCGAAGTGGCCGCCTCCATAAACATGTAAGTGGGGTGCATCGTTACAGATTTTAGCAAGCAAACCGACTGGCAGAATGCGAAACTTTTCTCAATAATTAGAATAAGCAGTTGAACTTTCCTCAAAGGCAGAGGGGTAGTGCGAACGAATCGCCGTGGACCTCAACATTTCGGTACTGAAGGCAAGATTCAAGTTTCGCCAAATGTGGCAAAAAATTTGTGTACATCGGTTTCTGAATTTTTAGTATACTAGTGTTAGCAGTGACAGGTATGCAAACGAACAAGAAATACCACAAGAAGCAAAAAAGCCACTGTATCGCAAATGCGAAATAAGATTTTGTAATTTAAATATGCTGTTCTTAAAAAAAAAGTGCATATGACATCCAGCATGTCTATAGAATTCGTATAAAAGTTAAATGGAATATAAAACAAATTTATAGTCGGGTATGAGTATGAGTGTAAGGATCGCAGAGATATTTTTCCCCTCTTCGGTTCTCCTACGTATTAATTAATACGCTGGTTAACCAACCAATCCCCATTCATGAACCCCAACTAAATGTGTGTGTTAATAAATCCCGGGCCTAGGCGAATTCCGGATTGTACTTAGTTTTAGGTCAGTCTATCGTCCCCCGAAAATCAACATGTTTTCCCTCCTTGTCCCGCTATATTCCGCAACTGTACAGCATTACCTTTGTTTGATAGATACAAAGTTTCACCCCGGCTGGTAAATCTCCCTTGGGAGATCGTGGATGACACTACCTATGGTTAAGACCCCCTCTGGAATTTTGTCGCCAGGCTAGGATATACGCCAGATTTTGGCTAGTAAACATCGGGATAAGGAGGGAAAATGATTGATTTTCGGGGGACGATAGACTGACCTAAAACTAAGTACAATCCGGAATTCGCCTAGGCCCGGGATTTATAAACACCCACATTTAGTTGGGGTTCATGAATGGGGATTGGTTGGTTAACCAGCATATTAACGTAGGAGAACCGAAGAGGGAAAAATATCTCTGCGATCCTTACACTCATACTCATACCCGACTATAAATTTGTTTTATATTACATTTAACTTTTATACGAATTCTATAGACATGCTGGATGTCATATGCACTTCTTTTTTAAGAAAAGCATATTTAAATTACAAAATCTTATTTCGAATTTGCGATACAGTGGCTTTTTTGCAAAAGCGACGCCATGCTTAAATTTGTATAAGGTATAAGGTGTCCTTGAAATTCCTGTACATAATGATACCCCACATATTCCTAAGACCGAAAGAATGCAATATAACTAAATTTACTTAGATATATACAAAAGTTTATCATAAACAAGTTAAAAGTTCGTTTTAGAATTTATTAAAAACGTTTTGCACAAAATATGATTTTTGGGTTTTTTTCGGGCCGTAAAAATTAAATTTCTATAAAAAATTAATTTATGTTGTAGAGGGAGCTGTCTACTAAAGTCTCATCTTTTCTGCACCTTGGCGTTTTCGCGTTTTTAATTAAAATATCCTTTTTTATCTTTAAGTAACCTTTGTTGAGATATTTGCCTTTAAATTGTTCAGTGCACCCATTTCATTTTAATTTGAGAGTGTAATATTTTTAAAAAAGTAGTTTACAATAATTATTAAAAAAAACATGCTACAAAAGTAGTTACTGTCCAACTTTTTTAAAAAGTTTATGTTTTAAAATTTTTTTAATATTTATTTTAGTACAATTTAATCACACTAAACAATTAAAACGCACATATCTCGAAAACGGTTACTTGGAGCGACATTTACAAAGTGTACCTTTTTTGCGTAATAAAGATGAAAAAAATAATATTTTTATTAAAACGTGCAGACTGCACCCTCTACAACCACTTTTTTTAAATTTAATTTTCCCGTCCTTAAAAACCCCCGAGAATATATACATATATATAGAATTATAATTCTATGCAAAAACGTTTGTTTTTTCCAAAGCTATTTAATAAAATTGAAAATGAACACGCTTTATCCTGGTTATTATCAAATTTTGTATAGAGGTTTATTTAGTTCTATCGCATTATTTTGGTCTCAGAAATATGTGGTATTATTTTGAACAGGGACACCTTGTATATTATTATATGAATTTGTATTTACAAAATTTTACCCAAGAAAAAACATTTTGTTGCCAAACCTCCAAAGATAAAGTTACAAGCTTATATATATACATACATCAGTTCCAAAACTATAAATATAAATTTTTATAAAATTAATTGGCTAGATGTATTTTTTCAATTTACCTATAAAAATGTTTTAATTTAATTAATTTATTATTATTTAATTAATGTATAATAATTTAATTAACATAACATTCACATCAAATTTAAATTATTATATCGATATACCAAAACCTATGGAACGCCGTTTTAGTTTTTATTATCATATATGATATTTTTATTATCATATATGATATATTATAATACTTCATATACCTTTTAAATTCTAATTAATTTTAATGGTACATGCGATAATGGAATATAACCAATTTTTGTTAACGGAAATGTAATTTTTGTTTCAAACTAAAATATGAATTCCCATTAATAGAATGAAAAAAGATATTTAATCATTATCTGAAATAACTGTTCAATTTCCGTTAACGGAAATCAATTTTCGTTAACGGAAATTGAATTAGATTTATCAAAAACCGAAAAAATACTATTACTAAGATATTTTAAAATATTTAAAAATTAAAAGTGAAATTTTGTAATTATTAAATTGATACACATATTTTATAATGTTGTACAAATTTCTATACATCTACAATTTTGTTTTAATATGTAAAAGCCTTTTATTAATTTGAATGTATTTTTATTTTAGTTGCATTTAAATGATAGTTAAATTTCTATTACACACGAATTAAAATTGTCTATGTATTTCGATGGTACGGTATGTTTTTGCCCCAATTTGAAATTGGCAATTTCCATTATCGGAACTAGCGCCATCTAGAAGGCGCTTTTAGATTGCACGGAGCGCTGTGTCCTTGTCCAACTGCTTAAATCAGGGTGGAAGAAGAAGGTGATATAGCTCCTATCTCTACAGAACAGAAGCAAGCGTCCAAATAAGTCAGTATTTCGTTCGTTGTTTGTTAGATGGCGAGTCAACTAAGAACCTAAGGTTTTACCGACGAAATCCATATATTCTATAACAACTTAACTTTTAACAACAAATTATAAGATAACGAAAACCCAGGGAGAGCCTTCTACCCTCCTTAACGAAAATTACAACTTTTCTTACAGCATTATTATAATAATTTGTAGTATTGCCAACTGTTTTGCCAAAATGCACAGTCGCCACAAACGCACAAAAGTGACGTTGAAATGGTTTTATTTGAATTTTAATTAAGCTTAGTGGTCTATTCTTTGAAGTTAATCAATGCAATTTTACTAAAAATGGGAAAAGTTTGGGCACCGGGATTAAAACAGGTTCCACTTCAATGCGCCATCTATTCAGACTTTTAACAAATACTGAGTTATTTAGCAGCGTTCCGGGATAGAGATGTATCACCTCCTTCTTCCACCCTGGCATAAATGTAGCCTCATCCTTTTTCAAGAAAAATGATGAAGCTACGACCAGCCTGCAATCTAAACGCGCTCGCTATAACATTTTTAGATTTATTATGATCTTCAAAGTTTTATTATGGTCTTCAAGAACGCTTTAAAACAAAATTTCGTTCTAGCGTTCTTGAAGACCATAATAAAACTAAAAATGTTACTTGGGTAGGTGGTGCTAGTTCCGAAAATAAAAATATGTGCAAAAACCATTGATTAAGGTGTCTTCACTCAACGCAAAAACATTTAAAAACAATTTTAATTCGCGTATCATGGAAATACTTACACATACCATTTTAATTCATATGTCATGGAAATTCAACTAACATTAAAATTCACGTTTCATTTAAATACAACTAGAATAGAAATTAATTCAAATTAATTTATTTTTTAAATAAGCAAGATAATTATAAATCAATTTAAATGATGCATAGGGTGCTGGGTTTAATAAAAAGTAAATAGCGTTTCATAAAAACCAACCTTTTAAAAAATTTGATATATCCTCCAATTGTGGAATGTTGTCTTCCCTATACCCACAATTTTCAATTAATAAAGGAAATACGTGGTTATGTTCCTTGCATGCATGGGTTGGATACAAATTACTAAGTTGCCTGAAAACTTTTCCCCAAGTTTCAATTTCCTCTTCGGTGTAATCAACGTGCGGTAGTTTTTCGCCGTGTCTATAATTGTAGGCAATATCAGCGAAGTATTTTCTACGTTTTCTGTATTCAGGGTCTGTAAAACCAGGATGGTCGGAATCCAGTTCAGCTCCGTATGAAAGAATCTGATTGGCAAACCGATCAAGGTCTCTTATGCGGCGAGGAAACCAAGGTACAGAATCTAAAAGGTATAATTACTTTTACATATAATTAAGTAGATATATTTACCTGCAGCACAGTGATTTAATTCGCAAAAAGTTTTTAATATATTTATAAATATTAGTCCTGGAGCATAAAGCAATAAAATATTCTCCGTGGGATTTGTTATGATGGGATGATGGGACTATATGGGATAGCTTTTTTATACCTTTTTGAGTTGTGTGGTACCGGATGTTTACATTGAAAATATGTCTGGTGGTGTTTATGACATTTCTAATCCAAAATGTCCACCATTTTCGACATTCATTTATAATGACAAATAATTAATTTTATTGTGCCCTTTGAAATAAATTACATTTTACATTTTTTGATTGTCATATGACCGTATATCGAAACAATTGTATAATTTTATGGGCCGTCAAATTTGATGGCCCATCAATTTTTTAGCCTCTAGCAACAGTGACTTTTTTGAAATAAAACTGTTTAAGTAGTTTCATTGGTTGCTTAAAAATTAAGTGTGCCTTGACTTTATCAATTTATGTTTACATAGAACTGTCAAAAGTATTTTACGATTTTAATACTTTTTTGCTGTTTTTCTTCTAAATACTTAATTTTAACAGTTTTCTTTTAAAATATTTGGGTCAGAATTTCTCAAACGGGCCACCTGAATTAGGTCAAAATTAGTTTTTGATTGTAGATACATTTTTTCGATAGTATTTTTAATCACTAACACAAATCCTAAAGGATTTTGTAAAAAAAAAATTTTCAATTGACATATTCATGATATTAAAAGTAAAAGTTTTTAGTAATTAAAAAATAAAAAAAAATCATTATGGCTAAACTAATTATCCGATTCCAACGATTTAACTAGCGTTGGAATCTTGTTTTGACATAGATTCTTTGTTATTTTTTTCAATTGTAAAATTTTCATTAAGGTCGATTTTTTTTTGTTTTTTTTATAACAAATTCGGAAATAATTGGCTTCTGCGCCAGCTATCGACTCGAAAAAAAAAACACATATACTCCAATCATTTTTCGAAATTATGCTGCTGAGAAAAAAAATGGCCCGCAGGTTCCAGACCACCGTAAGACGTCGCGTCACAAGCGCGTACAGCGTACACGGTTCGGAGCGTGAGCTGACACCGCGCGCGGCCACAAAAGGACGAATAACTTTTTGTCAACCTGCGGGCCATTTTTTTTCTCAGCAGCATAATTTCGAGAAATGATTGGAGTATATGTGTTTTTTTTCTCGAGTCGATAGCTGGCGCAGAAGGCAATTATTTCCGAATTTGGTATAAAAAAAACAAAAAAAAATCGACCTAAATGAAAATAGGACAATTGAAAAAAATAACAAAGAATCTATGTCAAAACAAGATTCCAACGCTAGTTATATCGTTGGAATCGGATAATTAGTTCAGCCATAATGAATTTTTTTATTTTTTAATTATTAAAAACTATGACTTTTAATATCATGAATATATCAATTGAAAATTTTTTTTTTACAAAATCCTTTAGGATTTGTGTTAGTGATGTAAAATACTATCAAAAAAATGTATCTACAAACAAAAACTAATTTTGACCTAATTCAGGTGGCCCGTTTGAGAAATTCTGACCCATTTACTATTACCTATTTAATTACCATTTTCTGTTAATTATAATTTATTACACTGTTTTACAAGGAAAAATAGAAACTTTATTTTAAATTTTTAGGGTGATTTTGTTGCGCTAAACACAAAAAACTTAATCATTTTTTTCTTATTTGGGCCATTCACCTAGATGACGGTATATTTTTGTTTTTTAAGTTAAGATTTTACTTAAATCAGCATCGAGAGGGTATGGCAAATCCGATATATGCCAAATCCGATATATGGTTTGAAAGGTGGTTAAATTTCGCACCCAATGGTAAAAACATCGTTTTAATCGAATCAAAAATAGCTGAGTTACAGCTCATAAAAGTTCAAATTTCTTGCAAAATGGCTCCAAATCGATCCATGCAAAATATAAAAATATAATAATATGTCAGTTTTAAGAGCCAATATTTTCTTAACCATTTGAGATAAGAAAAAATGTTTTAAATCATTTTTTCCTTATCTATGGTTTTTTAAGAGATTATATAATTTTTTTTTAATAGGACCACTAAATACGAAATTAAGCCACATTTTATAAACGCATAGGTACCTGAAATAACAGTTAGGTATCGGATTAATGACGTCATAAAAAATTGACACATTTTTAAACAAAACACCCGATAATACACTACTGCCTTGTGTATAAAAAATTGATTTCAGATAGTTTCATCTTCCCTTCACAAAAAATCCCACGGGATGCACTATGCTCCAAAACTTTGAATGAAAATTTTTGAAAAAATTATTTTTACAGCCTAGGAGATAATCGAAGTCTTTGCTAATGTACCTATGTATTATAAAATAAAATTTAAAATATTTGGGTCATTTTCAAAATTCTTTTGCATATAAAGAAAGAAAAGTAAAAAAAAAAATCTACTATTTTTTTAAATAAGCCCTTAAAAAAGAAAATAGAAAAAAAAATGGTCCCCTGGATCACAAATTTACTAACACATTAAAAAACTTATATAAAAATGCTTAATAATTTTGAAAATATATTTTTTTGCTTGTTAATAATCCTTTTAAGGTTTTATTTACAATATTTCCACATAAAATTTTGAGTACAAAACGAAGTAAAAGCAAAAATCATCTTTTATTTCTTACATACATAAGTATTTTTAATATATTTTCTGTACTTAAAAAATTTCCATAAAAAAAGTAGGTTTAAGAAACTTTCTCTTAATAGATATTAATGTAAAACGTTTTTTCTAGATTTTTTTATCTGGGCACAGCTTTATCAATTTAACGAGCAATGAATTAATAAAAAGTTTTTGTTACGAGTAATATTAATAAAATAATAATAAAAGTCAATATTGTTTCGTTGAAGTACCTAAAAATTTTTCCAGCTTCTTTGAGGCAAAATACATTGATTAGGAAAATTACTATTAAAAAGGTGGAGGACATTATTTGAAATTGGCTACATATACGTAGCCAATTTAAAATAGAAAAATGAGGTTGTTAATTTAATACTTAGTAAGTAAAAATGACTATTAAAAAGGTGGAGGACATTGTTTTAAATTGGCTACGTATACGTAGCCAATTTAAAATAGAAAAATGAGGTTTTTAATGTAACACTTAGTAAGAGTCACTTACGGGAATGTTATTCTTATTTTTGTTAAATTAAAAATTATTTTTTTGAAACAAATAAAAAAGAAATCTAACCAAACAATCAGAGGTTGTTATAAAATAGTGCTTATATTAAAGATTTTATTCATTAATTTAATGTCTGAACTGTATTAATTGAAATATTTGTACATTTTTGTAGTAATAAAAATGTATATTCAAAAACTTTACAAGTTTAATGTAAAAAACTGTAGGTAACATTTCGAGACCTTTAAATAAAACAATTATGCCCATTGTTCGTATTGAATGTGCAAAAACTGTTCAGTTAATAATTAAAACATTGATATAAGAGTTTACTTTTCTCAGTGTACATTCTGTCCATTATAATTTGGCGGATCAAAAAAATGTTCATGCAGTTTAGATAAATAATATTAAAACCCACCCACTCAGTTATGTTTTTTTATTATTAAACAGAAAAGGTCGAAAAAAAAATGTTTTTAAAACTTTTCTATAAGTTTATTGAGTATTATTTCAAAAATATATTATAATTTATTTCTTTGGAATTGTTCCCTGGGTCACATAACTTTCCCCTGGGTCCCACAATATGCTATACAGGAGACGTGTGACCCAGGGGAAAAATGTGTGTTTTTAGAACATACCTAACCTCTTTACTGTTTTAAAGATGGTTCAAAACACCATTTCCTACTAAAATCCGTTACCAAATACATTGCCGCCAGGGGGCAGCACCAAAAAATGTGCGCTCAATTCAAAAGGTCATTTATAAAAGCTGTGACCCAGGAGACGTGACCTAGGGGACTAAAATTAAGGGACAAATTTTAGGGGTAATTTTTAAATATTACCTCAAATGGGCTTTTTGTGTAATATTAGGAATATATTCTCAACTAACTGCGCACCACTCAATGTGTCGCGACCAAAAATTTCGTCTTTTTTCAAAACGACATAACTTTTTTAACGATTTTATTTTGGTATGTGATGTCTGCTAGCCCCATCCTCTGGCAATTCATGCTATATATATGAAGCTTAAGGTTCTTCAAGTAAATTTCCTACAGGGTGATATGTAAAACGGTGAAAATTTTCAATATCTTCATTCAAGCCCCGTTTGTAAAAAAAAATATTTTTTCTTGTTTTTACTTTGAAATAATTAAGTATTATGTCTTACCTTGAAAATGTTTGCAAATTTAATTTTTCGAATTGAAATCTTAGCAACGAAAATATGATTTTTTTTTCAAAAGAGTACATTTGAGTATTTTTGGTAGGCAATACACTCGTATTTTTAAGGACAAGAAGATAAGATGGTAAAAGATTGTTTCTTAAATAATTCTGCATAAGCAACAAACTTCCATTATATTCAGAGGGGCCCAAAGAAAGACCACTTTTTTAAAATGATATTTTGGTAAAAATTTGCAAAAACTAAACCTGAACCGATATTTACGTTCGAGACATGTTTTCACTAGTAATACCACTAGAGGTCAAATTATTTCCGGAAATTTTTTCGAGCTCATGAATATTTTGAAAATTATCCCGAGTCGAAGACAAAGGATAATTTTCTAAAAATATTCATGAGGGAGAAAAAATTTCCGGATTTAATTTGACCTCGTGTGGTATTCAGTAAGAAAATTCCACACCAAATTGTGTTTAAATAATTAAAATTTATTTTTTGATTTAACTTGACCTTGACTTGATTATTTATTTACCATGGCAACTAAGTCAACCCCAACCTAAAAGTTATTTCAGTTTTGAAGCTGTCAAGCGGCACGACGTAAAAAAATGTGAAATTGTCTGCTGTAATGACTTATTTACCCGCATTATTAGAGGA